TTCAGAACCATTAGTTCGTGGCGTTGTTACAGACAGGGACGACCATCACTGGTCTCACTCGAAAGGCCTGTCAGCTGTCCAGCCTATAAACCATGGTTACAGAAATTTCATAAAGAAATTTAAGGTCCAGATCCAGAGGAACATAGCCATAAACAATTAACAGTTATATTCCTACTTCCCCATCAGGCTCTGATACCAGATATGCCCTAAACCCTAAACATATATATATATATATATATATATATATGTGTGTGTGTGTGTGTGTGTGTGTGTGAAAGTAATTTAAAAGTTGTTGTAATTGAAATTCTCATCGGAAAGTTTGTTAATTCTTAAGTGTTTACTGTTATTTTTATTTAATTATTTTAAAAAAAAATGTTTTTTCCTCTTTTCTAGCTATATTAATATTAAGGTTATTTTTTTAAAAAAAAACTTAAATTAAAATAATAATAGACACAAAAAAACTTTATAATAAATAAATTGGCAAGTGTACCATATCATTTTCAGTAACAAAATAGATTTTATCGTTCACTGAAATTAATGTTAAGTATTAAAACATAAGAATATTATTAGTTGAGTCGTAAAACAGAGTGAGAATGTAAATGAAAATTTTAGATAATGAATAGAATGTAAAAATAAAGCGAATGTGCTTAAAAATTTAATTACCAATAAGAGTAAAAATTTAGACGTAAGAGATTGACTATAAATGAAACTAAACTGCAAAATGTAACTAACTAAAGGAATGGAAATGAGTTTTAAATTAATAAAGAAGTAGGTTGCAAAGGGATTGCTGTTTTGAACTTATGATGTGTCTTACACAAGTTTTGTAAAGATGTCTAAGGATACAAAAATGGAATAATTCAAAGATTGAAAAGTAATGATAATTAATTAATTTTAAATAAGTGTAATTACATATTGTTATTTGTATATCTTCTAATGAAATTGTGTTTATGTAGAGTAACTTTTTCATTCCTCTCCAGGACGAAAGATGATTTTCAAGGCTTGGAAGAGTCGCACTACAAAACGACTAAGACAGATATACACAGAGGCCCGTCAGGATCCTTCTACTGTTGATTGGATAGCACTCAACTTTCTTAATGCCTTGCAGGAGTATTGGGATACAGATGAATTTAAAAATCTCTCTGTATAGAACAAGACAAACATGGCATCAAATAAGGGAGATCACTGCATACTGGTGGCTCTACGACTTTAGCTGGCACTAAGGCGAACTTGGTATGTGATTTTAAAATTCATTTTACTCTATCAATAATTTTATATTTGAGATTGTGATTTAATTGGAATTGCAGGAGAAGTCGTTGAAGAGGCCACCTACGCATGGAGAGTTGTTCAAGGAGACACACACTCGCAGAAGAGACAAAAACATGTGGGTTGATACACCATCTCAAGTCACATATGTTAGTCATTCTTATTGATATTATATGTTATTATTAGTAATTTATTAAATAATTCTCCAAACTAATATCTAATTATTTGAACTAAACTATAGGATGATTATATTCAAAGGCTTAAAGAGGTATCTTCTCAGGATCTAGAGTCAGTTGATGAGGATACTATGTGATCATAGTGAGTATCCTTTATAAAGTTCTTTTCATCAACCCTGAATACAAATAAAATGGAGGCATTAAGCTTATAATTAAATATGTTAGATTGTAACTTGTATTTGAGTTATAATCACTGTTCAATTCATTGTAATGAGTAAAATATTAAGTTCATCTTTTTTCAACCCCAATACATCTAGCAAGACATAGCAGGAGTAAAGAAGAAAAAACTGAAATATATTGTAGAAATGAATTCCATGTTCAAATGAAAACAAATTACAAGGAAACGAACTTGTAGAAATTATTGTTCTATTAAAGAGTAAAGGGAATGAAAGGATGTAGCCCTACTTCCTATCCAAATCCCATGCAAAAGCAAAGCAAAAATGGAATGAAATACATCCACACTTAAGAATGTATAGAAAACCTAGAATTATGTGTTTGAAAAGTGTAATAAAAGGCGTCGTCTTTGGCAGAAAATTCTATTTTTATATGTTTTGTCAGGCTCATGTCTCCATAATCAGTTATGCATGTGCCCCACAAATGTGTCCTACAACAATTCAACTTCTTCTCTTTAAATCTAAAGTATTTGCTAGAGAAGAGCTAATTAAAGATAATAAAGGTAATAAAATAAATAGTATCTTTTTTATAAGAAAGGTGCTCCTAAACTTGAGAGCATATTGAATACTTTCTTTAGATTATACTAAGATATTAAAGGATATTTATATCTTTTTTCAAATATACCACTAATTCTATCACTAAAATCAACGGTTATGATTGTTCCACATATACAATAGCATAGAATACTCATTCATTTTTCAAAGCACCGTAGAATTTACCTAAATTCAATTATGATTTTTTTTCTAAATCTTTTAAAAATTGACTACCAACTATCTATAATTGAAAAATTCATTACATTTTTAGTAATAGCACTTTTTCAATGAATATTCTAATTAATTTACATTAACTTAAATCATTTATGCAGTAAAAATATGTCATAAGTATTCAATTTACTACATGAGTCAATAACTCACCACTCCTATTGTTATTTAAAAACTACAAAAAAAAGTAAAATTTTATTTTTAAAGAAAAGGAAATGTGAAAAAATATTAATGAAACATGTGTAATGATAGAGTACCTTCATTCATATTTACCTGTTCATGAGAAGAAATTACATATGCTAAAAATCCAATTATTCATAATTTAAATTAAATATTAAATTTACTAATTTATCATTTATTAATGGTTTTTTTTACTGTATTCTTGAATTGCTTAGAATGTATACAATATTTTAGATGGACGAAATATTAGTAGAAGTATATCAATTAATATATTTTTGAATTTCTATTTAGGTAAATAAATAAGAATAAAAATTTATTTCTTTTATCTTAAATATAAATAAGAATTAAATAATAATTTTTAACAACATTAATCTTACATAATATCCAACGGTGGATGTGATTGACCCTATCAATCTTACGAATTTCATCATGGCTTCGAAATGCACCAGCCGGGAATCGAACCCGGGTCTGTATCGTGGCAGGGTACTATTCTACCACTAGACCACTAGTGCTTCTTGTCAGTTGGATATGTAAAATATATATAGATCTATGTACATCTCCTTCTCTCGTTAAATCAGAACGGTTAATAATAGATAAATTTTACTGGCTAAATTTTTTTTAATCGTATCAAGACTATAGTTAGAACTTGGGTTGTGGGGAAAAATATAATTTTTAAATTTAAAAATTTATACAATATTTTGAAAATAAATAAAATATTAATATCTTAAATTTATGATTTTGTTAATTTCTGTTTTTAATGTTAAGTTTAACTATATAAAATGAGTGCTTTTTAATTAAAAAATAATATTTATTAATCTTTTATAATCTCAAAGTGATAAATAATTTTTTCTCAATAAAAAATTACAGCTTTAAGTTGTTTATTCTTAATTTTGAGGATTAAGTATACAAATATATTATTTTATGCCTTTTTATGTTAAAAAATTATAAATATAGAGAATATTAACCATAAAAAATCCTCTTTCTTTCCTCTAAAATATAATTTCCAAAGAAAAACTTAAAAATAGTTCTATTGAGTTTCCAGCCCAAACAAATCCTCTCCAAAATACATTCTTGCATTGCTGATGACGATAATAACATATGCTTGGGATGGAAGAAAGTAGAAAGTTGAAGCCTTTGACGCCGCAATCTTCAAACATGAATAGGCAAAGAACGGCCATGTTAGGCTCATCTCTATTATTAGCAACAAAAACCCACTAGCCACCATCAGAGAGGTGTTCACAGGAGAAAATGGGACTTGCTTCTTTAAGGAATTCTCCCATATGAACATGGCACATCTTACAAAACAAGTTTGGAAAGATTTATCAAAATCCTAACTCTTTTGATTCAAATCCGGAAATAAGTAAAGCAGGGTTTATAAAAAAAAAATGAATTTCCAAGTTAAATGAATATCGTCCACTGCCCCCACTGTCTTTAATTAATTTTAATCATGATGTGTTTTTTTCAATATTAAATACTTTAAAAAAATATTTAAAATAGCTTGGTAGGGGTATAAGGAAGTTGACTCGAATCAATAAAAAATAGATCAGACTAAAAAAGAAAAATACTAATATGACTTATTTATCTAATTTAAGGAACAGATGTCATTAGTCTTATTTATTTATTTGTATGTTGATATTGATACTTATTTTTAAGAACACGATAAAAAGTTAAACATAAATTATTTTTATTAAAGTAAAAATATTTATTATCTCAAAATTATAATTTTAAAAATTAAATATACTTGAGATATATAACAAGTTATTCTAAAATAATTCCTACCTATTGACGTGTTTGGTGGTATAGTAATTTAAAGTATTTAATAAGATATAGCTAATGTTGTTAATGACATATATTAATTTCTAATATGTAACATTAATAACATTCACTATTAATATTATTCTTTTAATAAATTAATAAATGTTCTAATATGTACAAACTTATACACAAAAGAAAATAATAAATATAAAATTCATTATAAATTTAAACATAATAATATTAATGAATTAAGTCAAAAAATTATTTTTATTATAGTTTTTATTTTTGCTTTTAGTGTCCACAGTTTATTTTTCTTGTTTTTCAATCCTTATCTACTATTACATACCATAAAAAAAAAAAAAAGGAAAATGAAGAAAAAATGGGAATTAAAAGCAAAGACAAAAAAATGCAGAAATTTATACGGACCAAAAAATTTATTGAGCATAATAAAAGCCTACGGTTTCTTTAGGCTTTTACACTTGCAAATTTATGAGCCTTGGAGATATGGTCAAAGTTTGGGGAAAGTAAAGTCACAGTGCACTTTATATGTTAGACTTTTTAGCGGTGCGGTGTCATTTTAAGTGCAATTGTAACGAAGTGGTTTTGTACAGTGTGGAAGTGAAAATAGATTATGAGCTCAGTTTATGGTAACCTCGCAAAGATGTTGAAGGCTTTGGCCACAGTTGGTGTACTATTGATGATTATTGCAGCAGATACAGTGATAGTGGTTGTGCATGCTCGTAAACATGTGCGTGTTATAAATGACTTGGGTAATGATGTTTTTCTCTATCTCCATTGTCGATCATCGGATGATGATCTTGGCGAGCATGTTCTTGAGTATCAACAATACCAAGAATGGTCCTTCCAAAACAACCTTCGCGGTACTACTCTCTTTTGGTGCTCCTTGCAATGGGGTTATGAAGAACACTACATTGAAGTTTACAATTACAAAAAAGATAACAAATATTGTGGTTCCTATTGCTGGCGAAGTATTAGAACCGATGGAGCATATTTTTATATAGAGCCTTTCCAGCACTGGGAGCGCAGATACTCGTGGTATGTCAAACAGCTACAAGTATAAATGTACGGGTGGCAATTCCACCTTCTATTTACTTCCAATCCAACCATGACATTCAAATATAAAAGTAAAGACTAATGAATAAATTAAATTGAATCATTATTTATTATTGGATGGATAATTAATGAATCATCCATAATATTGAATACTTAGTTTATTAGCCTAAATAGTTTAAGTTTATTAATTGAATATAGTTCTTTATAAGATACGTGTCAACTATTAATAATATTAAAGTTTATTTTATAAAAAAATTATCAAATAAAATATAATATATTTTAAATAGATGTATTGGATATATATCCGTAAAAAATATAAATGAATGGGTTGAATGAGTTTTATTTAGATGAATTATTTTTTTAACATATCAAAATGAGTTAAGGATTTACTGTTTTAAATGATAATAGGAAAATTAGCAAATTCTATTTTAAGTATTAACCTGCAGATAGAGATGCGTTAGAGTTACTTATTCAATTTTTTTAGTTCTTACGTCATACAAATAACAATGGATAGCAATTATTACGTAATAAAAAAAACAATATACTCTTCTCAAGAGACTTTTCAATGCACTCTACATGATCAATTTTTTTAAAGTCAAAGAATTTGTATTGTCAATTAATCATCTTTAAAAAAGGTGTCAATTATAAAATTATGTTACTAACATTCCTTCAAATACATTTTATATGATCAATCTAATAACATGCATTTTAATGTTTCTTAAAATGAGTCATTAGATACACATTAGACAGAAATATTGTTAATAAATGCTCTAATATTATTAGTTAAAGATATATATATATATATATATATATATCAAATGTTTGTAATATTTTAATAATAATTTGCGTAAAATTATATGACAAAAAATAATAAAATTTTATTAGAAATTATAACATCTAATAATTCAATGAATTAAATTGCACATATCAGAAAAATCATATTTGTTGTTGCTGTTAGTATCCACTTTTTTATTTAATTTTATATATTTTAAGTCCCCATTTATTATTAAATACCATAAAATATTAAGGGAAAATGGCGAAATAATACGCATTAAAAGCAAAGATGGGGATTAAAAAATATGCAAAAAATTATGTGGTCCAAAGTATTTCCTAAGCCAAAAAAGTTTATTAAGCATTTTAAAAACCTACGTTTTCTTTTGGCTTTTCCTCTACCAAATTTAAGAGGCTTCGAAATATGGGCAGAATTTGGGGAAAATAATTAATGTCACAGTGCACTTATATGTTTGACTTTTTGGCAGTGCCGTGTTATTTTAAGTACAATTGTAACAACGTGACTCTGTATAGCGTGGGAGTGAAAATAGATTATGTGCTTCGTTTATGGTAACCTCGCAAACATGTCGAAGGCCTTGGCCACAGTTATTGCAGTATGGATGATTATTGCAGCAGAAAGAGTCATAGTCCCTGTGCATGCTTGGAAAACTGTGCGTGTTCAAAATGACTTGGGTAAGGACGTTCTTCTCTATCTCCGTTGTCGATCAAGGGATAATGATCTTGGCCTGCATGTTCTTCCCAATGGATACTTCCAAGAATGGTCCTTCCGAAATAACATTTTTCGTAGAACTCTCTTTTGGTGCTTCATGCAATGGAACTATCGGAACCAAAGCATTGAAGTTTATAGTACCGAAAAGGATGATATTCTATGTAGTAACCAATGCTGGCGAAGTATTAGACAAGATGGAGCATATTTTTATAAACAGGTTTTAGAAAAATGGGATCGGAGATACTCGTGGTAATAGATTTCCTTGAAAGCTGCTAAGTCTTTCGTTTACATGTTCTTCGAAAGAAAAAAAAAAAAAAAACTAATAATCATGCCAACTATCTATCTATTTTATTAATAAAGCAGATTTCCCTTTATTCGATCATTTTCCCATCGTACGCCGATTGTTTATATTCACAATTTATATTTTAAACTAACAAACTATATAATTATGTTTTTTATTAATTATTTCTCTACTTTCTACTTTTTCTAAACTCTCTATAAATAATATATTTTAAGTAGAGGTGACACTTTAATATATTTATTTATTTTCATCTAATTTAGGTATAGTTTGAATAAATTTTTAATAAGCATTTATTAAAAAATTAACTTAATTCTTATTTTGCTTTTGCTCTCTATCCACACATTAATGACTTATTTTTTCATCTATTGAATTTCAACCTTTTTTTTACTTTACACTCATCTCTTTCAAACTTCAACAAATTACTTTTTTTTAAATAATAGTGACCATTTTAAATGGTAAATTTTACATTACAAATGTGTATATAGAGAGAAAAGGAAAGAGATTAGAGCTTTCATGTATGCAACTTAACTGCTTCTTTAAAATTTGTAATAAATGGTTAAATCTAATAAATTTGAACTCATATCATTACCTGAATACTATAATTTCAAAGAAAAAATTGTGAGTTATCTTTAAAAATAAAGAATTCATTATATTTTTGTCTAGAGAAAAAAAAAAGAAAAGGAGATTTTTGTTAGAGTTGGAAGAGAGAAGTGTAAATAACTAGATTTTTGTTAGAGTAAGAAAAAAAAAGCTAAAAAACAAGGATACATTTTTGTAAGAGTTCCAAAAAAAGAAAAACAAGTGGAGAGACTAGCATAAAGAGTAAGAGAAAAAAGAAAAAAGATGAAGAGAAATGAAAAAAAAAAAAAAACGGCAATCACAAAATTTGTTAAAATATATTGTATTTTTTTTAAATCACTATAAAGGAAAAGATAAATTGTAATTTTTTAGCAATGCTAATGTTTTTTTAAAATGCTTATTTAAAATATATTTGTAAGTAATTCAAGTAATCAAAATGAGAAAAATAAATAAATATCAAGCCCAAGCAAAATCAAAAGTTAATTCAACATTCCACTAATTTAGCCTAAATAAACGAATAATTAAAAAACAAATTAATAAATTTAGCTAAATATAGAGGATTAAAAGCGAAATCAATAGGAATGCTTAATAGAATTTATCACACCAATGCCACATCTAAGTTGATGTAAACATCAAATAAATTGGTCAGAAATCAAATACCAGATGTGATTTTGTGTATAAAAAAGAAGTACAAAATTAATCAAAATTAATAAAAATAATTGCAATTATATGTCTTATTTTTATTTTAAAAAATACTTATAGTATTAAATAGTCAAAATTATAGGTAAAAGATTAATATACCGTTAACACATTTTTTTTATAATAAATAAGAGTATACAAATTTTAATAATTAATATATTTTAAAAAAATCTATTTGTTATACAAAGTACTAAAAAAATTTATAACTATTTTTTTAAATAAAATTAGAGATAGTATTACATTAATTTGACATTTTTTATTTTTTATTAATAATACGTGTATATTTAAATATATGTAAATGATATATTTTTTAACAACACTAATATTACATATTATTTAGATGTTACTTGGCATTAATTAGAATCCAACTATTTTATATTTACAGCGATTTCTATCTCTTCGTTAATTATCAACAACTCCATCATCTAATGCAAGGAATATATGTTGTTACTCTTATTTTAATTATTTTTATATTGATATTTACTTTTAGAACTATTTTTAAATAGTTAAAATAATATTTTTATTAAAAAAATACTTATTATCCTGAAATTATAAAAAAATTGAATTCATATTTTTTGTAGTAATTTAAAATATTTAATGCATTGCATTTAATTTTTTTCAATAACGCATATTAATGCCTATTATCTCATATTAATGAGATATATTAAAAATACTAAATATTAATATAATTCTTTTAAAATATTAATAAATGTTCTAATCTGTACAAAATTATACATGAATAAAAATAATGAATTTTTATTAAAAATTCAAACATAATAATATCAATGAGTTAAATTGCAAGGCTAAAAAAATATTATTTTTATTATTTTTTTTGTTTTTAGTCTCCACTTTTTTTAATTCCCGTTTCTTATTACGTACAGGGATAAAAGAAAAGGCAAAAAATTTATTGAACGTTTTAGAAGGCCACGGTTTCTTTTGACTTTTGCTCTCGCAAATTGAAGAGCCTTCGGAAGATGGGCAAAGTTGGGGGAAAGTAATGTGAGGGAGTGCAGTTATTGATAGACATTTTGAGGGTGCATGTAGTTTTAAGTGCAAATTGTGACTTTGTATAGTGTGGGAGTGAAAATCGATCATCGTAACCTCGCAAACATGTTGAAGGCCTTGAGCACAATTGTTGTACTATGGATGATTATTGCAGCAGATGCAGTAACAGTCCCTGTGAATGCTTTGAAACGTGTGCGCGTTGAAAATGACTTGGGCAACGACGTTCTTCTCTTTCTCCATTGTCGATCAAGGGATAATGATCTTGGCCTGCATGTTCTTCCCAATGGATAATGAATGGATTGAATAACTTTTTATTTATTAGGTTATATATGGATAGATAAGATTGTTTTAGCATTGTTTTAATAGGTCAAAATGAATTAAAATTTTATTTTTACCATCTATTATGATTTTATTCAAAATTTATTCAGATAATAATAGGAAAATGAGCCCATTCTATTTTAAAAATTGACTTGCAGAGGTGCCTTAGAATTACTTATTATTATTATTATTATACAAATAACATTGGAAAATAATTATTTTATAATAAAACACCAAAATAATTAATAGATTTTATTATTAAGTGACTCAAATAATATGCTAATTATATTAAAAATTGTTATTCATAATAAATTATTTAATAAACTACTTTGATATACCAGTTTCAATCTCATTGATAAAAAATAATTAAAAAATTAAAGGGTAAAACATAAATTAATTACAATTAATAAAAACAAAAAGAACAATATTATTTCAAATTAGTGGCTACTTATTTCAACTATTTTATTAAATAATATTATTTTATTTTAACTAACACACTTTTAATAAAATGTGTTTTTTACTACGTGTCCTCTGTCCATCATTAATCGGCCATTCTCCGTTATTTATTGCGAAAAATGTCTATTACTGCTATCATAAATTATCTTTACATTGGTACTTATTTTAATTCACGCTTTTATGAACTTGTTAGTAAATGTTCTTGAATTATTAATTAAAGAATAAATGAATAAAAATTATATATAAAAAGAATATAGATTTATTATTTAAATACAACATTAAAAATTACCAGAATAATTTTTTTTAATTTTTAATTTCTTGCTATTAACATAATATAAAAAATAAGAATAAATGAAAAAAAGGAGTAAAAGCAATGACAGAAATAAAAAAAAATGCAAAATATTATAAGGACCAAATGTATTAATTAAGCTTTTAAAAAGTGTACAGTTTCTTTTGACTTCTTCCGAAGCAACTTTATTTATAAGATGCAATTGTAACAATGTGACTTGGTATAGTTCGAGTTAAATAGATTATGTGCTTCGTCTATGGTAAGCTCCCAAACATGGCGAAGGCGTTGGGCATAGTGGCTCTACTATTGACGATTATTGCAGTAGATACACTGACACTCGCAGTCCCTGTGGATGCTCGCAAACATGTGCGTGTCATAAATGAGTTGGGTAATGAGATTCTTCTCTATGTCCATTGTAAATCAGGGGATGATGATCTTGGCCTGCATATTCTTGAGTATGAACAGTATCAAGAATGGTCTTTCAAGAATAACTTAAGCGGTACAACTCTCTTTTGGTGCTCCTTGCGATGGAACGATGAACAGCAGAACATTGAAGTTTATAATTACAGAAAAGATAATAAATATTGTAGTTCCAAATGCTGGCGAAGTATTAAAAAGGATGGAGCATATTTCTATATAGAAACTTTGGACCACTGGGAGCGGAAATACTGGTTGTGGAGGTAGACTTGTCATATTTCTATTATATCCATCTATTAATAAAGCAATCCCTTTATTTTATCACATTTCATTTTCTTGTGTAAGCCAATTGTTTATATTTCTAATTCGTATTTTGAAAGAACCAGCTATAAATTTGTGTTTTTTATTAATTATTTTTCAATCTTCTACTTTTGTAAAATTTCTCCAAATATAATATATTCTTAAGGATTTATAAATGGTACGGATTTATAAATTAGGGTTAAAATTTTTCTTGTAGTTTGTTTGTTTTTAAGTTTTAACATAATATAAAAAATTAAAACTAACTTTACTAAGAAATATTATAAAAATAAATTAAAAATTTTATATTGATTTAATATTTTAATATTATTTAATTATTATTTTTATTTTTTATTATTTAAACAAATGAAAATATTTTTCTTTTATTTTAATTTAACGAATCATCAAATATTTATTTTCTATATTTTACTTTGCATCAAAACGAATCTTATGCATTTTTTTTTGTTTACATTTTTAAGACCTATCTCCCATTACATATAACGATAAAAAAAAAATAATGAAAAAAATAGGAATAAAAACAAAAACTGGGATTAAAAAACAGTTATATGATACACATTTTGGCGGTGCGGTGTGTTTATAAGTTGAATTAGTGAAAATAGATTCATGGTAACCTCGCAGACATGTTGAAGACTTTGGCCACAGTTTCTCTACTGTTGATGATCACTGCAACCGATACACTTATAGTCTCTGTGCATGCTCGGAAACATGTGCGTGTTGTCAATGAATTGGGTAATGGCGTTGTTCTCAATGTCCATTGTCGATCCAAGGACGATGATCTTGGCGTTCATGATCTTCAGAATGGAAGCTACCAAGAATGGTCCTTCCAAAATAACATAAGCGGCACTACTCTCTTTTGGTGCTCCTTGAATTGGAACAATCAGCAACACAGCATTGAAGCTTATAGTACCAAAAATGATGATGAAGATTGTGAATGGAAATGCTGGCGAGTTATTAAACCAGATGGAGCATATTTTTATATAGAGACTTATAACAGATGGGAGCAGAGATACAAGTGGTAGTAGACTTGTTTAACAGCTACAAGTCATTAGTGTATATGCTTAAGGAAAAACTAAATTAAAATAAAATAAAAAAGATTTATTACTTAATCATACGTTTCGAAAGTATTTTTATATATAAAAATAAAATTAGAAAGTTAAGTAATGAAATTTTTTGTGAAAAAGTGTACCCGTTAAAAAGTAATAAAGAGTTTTAAAATTAAGTTCTCAAGTTATCATCTCACAGAAATTATTATTAAATACCAATAATACTTTGATTTAATTATTTAAACATAAAGGGAGTGTGATAGATTAAAAACAAGACTTAATGTTAACAATTAATTAGAGAAAACAATAATGCAACGTATGAGAGAAATCGAATAAATAAGTCTAGAACTTATGGTTTCACCTATTATACTTTTTCATATTTTAATTATTTTAATCTCAATATTAATATCCGAATATTTATCAACCACTCGTACTAGTTCTATTAACACTCAATGATCATGTAATGTTAATATTCTTTTTTTGAGTAATCACTCCTAATAAGCATGCAAGGCAAACGGTAGAAAAAGCATAAAGACCCTACGAGTTTGTTAATTCAATAACGGTTGAAAGAGAGAAATTAAATGTAATTAACCTAACCCCTTGTCTCGTTTTATCATATAGTTCGATTAATTATACGTGGTACGATTGTAACGCCCCGAATTTTGGTAATATTAATTATTATTGTTCTTATATATATTCATATGTGTGTGGATTTATTTGAAAATAATATTTATGTGTATTAAGTACATGGATGTGTGTATATACGTGTATGTATGACTGGATAGGCTAAAAAATGAGCTAAGTGCCTAAGTGCAAGGCGTAACACTGAGTTGTTCTCGCTGCAGCGAGAGGGCTCTGGGAGGAAGGACCAAAACTGTCGCCTTTTCGCTGTAGCGACAAAGTGACAGTTTGGGGTGCATTTCTGGGTGTAGTCTCGCTGTAGCGAGATTCTACATAAATCAGAGTGCAGTTTTCTCTTATTTTTTCGCTGTAGCGAGAAGGCGTGTCGCTGCAACGAAGGGACCTCGCTGCAACAAGAATATCTCGCTGTAGCAAGAGTGTCGTGACCAGAAAAGGATTTAAAGGGGGCTAGGGTTCGGGGAGAGTAATTTCTCCCTCTCCCTTCGAAATCCCTTCGATTCTCTCACTCCCAAACCCTATTCTACCGATTAATTGCCTCCAAAGTCGTTTGGGAGTGAGATTGGAGTTCAGATTTGTGTGGGGAACGCTTGGAGGTAAGTTTTAAATTGTTATGATTTCGATTTTTCACTCCATTTTCTATGTTTTCGTGGTTTCCCTAGGTTCTCATGGAGTTTCTCCATGTATTTAGGACGAAATCCGTGAGGGAGAACGCTTTTTGGTGGATTTAGCGTGTGAGACGTCGATCCAAGGTAAGGGGGGATTCTACCCTACTCCTTTATGTGTGATTTGCTGATATTTTGTGTGATATTGTGATATGGCTGTGTAAAGGGTAAGAAATTGCTGAGATATGTGATGTGGGCACTTGTGCCGTTTATACATGTGTGTATATCTAAATGAACATTGTGAAAATGTGGGCCCGAGGGCCGTGTAATATGAATGGAAATAGGCTAGGGGCCATGTGGCATGAATGAATTGTGGGCTATATGTTGTGTGTGTTGTGAAAATGAAATGTGGGCTTAGTGCCGTATAGTGAAACAAATATGGGCCTAGTGCTGTGTACTCTTAAATGTAGGCTATGTGCCGTATACTGAAATGTGCGTGATTGGAGCGTGTAACGCTGTTGTAATGTGCTGTAAATGGTTCAGCGATATACTGGGAGTGTGGGAGATGAGGACGGTAGAAATACCTTGGGGAAGAGGGAGTAGTGGTGACACCGACAGTGGAACGGGTGCCACACACTCTCTTCTGACTAGACCTCTGACCATTACCTTTGTTGAGTGACCCGTGACTATTCACGTGGTATCCGTGAGGCAGGGGTAACCGACGACCATTCATAGTGTAAATCTCTGATCACAGTGTCAATGTGAGTGTGATTGGCGTGCATATGTATGGGTTCATGAATTGTGCTTATGAATGTGATAATGTTGCTTGTGTTTGTATTTGTTTAATGTATTAGAAATGTGCTGGAGGTGAGACTTTATGCTTAATTGTATGTTTTGGTAGTGTAGAGTATTCACTCTTACATTCATTTTTTAGGTAATCAAAACGATCAGCACCAAACTCAGTGAAAGGGACGGATGGAACTACTATAGGACTAGGAGTTTAATTTGAAACTAATGTATTTGAATGAGTCCTGTAGTAGTGACTTGATAGAAATTGTAACCCCTTTCCTTATTTTAAAAATATTTGATAAAACAAAAGGTTGAGAACCTTATTTGAAATGAAATTTATTTTATTCCAAATTTGCGAAATTATGATTTATTGAAATTAAACATAAGGTGTTACAACAATCGCCTCAATGCAACTAATTATAGGATGCTAAGGATAATCAATTTTTAACATGCACAATATGATTTAATAGGATAAAAATCAAACATTAAAGAAAAACCAATAACGATATTAAAAGTAAAAATCATACAAAGTATGCTATAAGATCCACCATAACTCTGACTATAGATTTAGTTACTCATAATGAAATAAACAATAAAAAACATAGTGAACAAATTCATAAAACATCAGAGAGAAATCAAACAAGAGAAACTCAAAAGGAAAAAAGATGAAAAGAGTTCTCCTTTTTCAAGGGTTGTTCGATCGCTCACTTGGACTCCGAAGGAGTTCGTCATGTTTGCCAATGATTTTCAATAACTCTTAATGGTCAAGTGAGGCAGAACTAAGAATGAGAAGAAAGTGTGTAGAGAAGTGAAAAAATGTCTCAAGTGTGAAGCATAAGGTCTTTTTATATAGACTGTGCCATGAGTTTTCAGTTTGTTGAGTTCTATCTTTTCAAATCAGTTGTATCTATAATTAGAATCTTAACTAAAAACTACTTCAAATCCTCATATGTAAATTTTTATCTAAATTTAAATTTTAAATTCAAAATTCAAACTCAAATTCATATAGTACAGCTAAGGGCTAAAATTATCTAATTTTTATCCAGAATATTTCCATAATATACTAAGAATAACTTTAAGGTAAACTGCAACAATTAATAGCATAATTAATATAAATATATATAAAATAGGGTTTAAGAATATAAACATAAGTCATAAAATATATTAAAATATGAACTTATCAGAAACTTTTTTTACAAACTTTTAAAAGTTAAAATTTAAATTATATATAATCAAAATTATGAGATAATGTAGACTTTTCATATATATAAATTATACTATAAATTACAATACATAATATTATATATATATATATATAGGATAAGATCTATTAATACAGTAGAAACTCTTTAAATTAATACTCGATAAATTAATAAACTCTCTAAAATAATAAATTTATCCGGTCCCGACTTGGGCCAATATAAAAAATTAAAAAACTCGATAAAATAATAAGATAATAATTTTTCGGGAGATCCCTTTATAATTTTCGGTCCCAAGAAAATCATAAATTAATAATTCATAGAAACTGAAAAAAAAAATATTATACTATATTGAAATATGATTCAATAGTTTTCTGTTTTCCTTTAAAGTTCAAGTCTATTTGGAGCTCATCTCTAACTTTTCTTATTGCATCCAATAACTCAGGTGTTGTATTTTTGTATTGTATCATAAAGTTGTGAAGAGTGTTTGACGCCATAAGTGCTTCCTTTCGCGTAACAGGCTCCAAAGACACTGTATCATCTTCGTCGTCATCCTCTGCATTGTTCTCAATGATAGTACCTACAATATCTTCTAAACTCTGAACCTCTGAACATGCTTCATTTTCACCTGGGTAGTTCATTAGATTGTCGATATCCATCTTATTACGATAGCCACATTGATTGATCATAGTCTCGAGGTCATGAGTTTCTTCATCAAAAGTGGATTCATCCAAATTTCTTGGAACGTCACTATCTGAACGAATTTTACAGTGTCAGAAACAATTCGCTATTATTTCTTTTCGAACATCTATCGTCCAAGTTGGGATTGCCAAATTGATAGCATCAAGGACATTTATCTTCCCTGGATCAGATTGTCCCACCTCATAACCTTCCAATATTTTGCGGTAAAACCTTCTACGGTAATGCATCTTGAAAGCTCTTATTATCCCAGCATCGCAAGGTTGAATCTTTGATGTCATGTTGGGTGGCAAGAAGAACAACTCAACGTTTCTTAGCCCTTCAATATTTCTTGGATGTGCTGGACAATTATCCACCACAAGTAGAACTCTTCTACCATGCATCATTTGGTCAAATGAACAAACATATTCATCAAAAAGCACACTAGTCATCCATGCTTTTTTGTTAGCTTGATACTGACAATTCAAGCTATTCATGTTGACATTATTGAAGCAACGAGGCTTTGCATATTTCCTAATAATCCATAGAGGGATTTTTTCAGAGCCATCTTCATTGCAACAAATAACTACCGTCAGCCTTTCTTTATCTTGTTTTCTTCCTTCAAGTTGTTTTTTTGCCAGTGAATGATCAGCTTGTAGCCTATAAAACAACCCAGTTTCATCCATATTGAAAACATCTTTCATAGGGAACTGATCAATTTTCTCCCGAATCAATACCAATTTCTGCTCCATGTCTTGTATATCAACAGACCCACTCTCGCCAAAACGACGAAATGACTTTATGCCATGTCGATGCTTGAATTTTCCAAGCCATCCTATAGAGAAGTTAAAATCTGAATCATCATGAGGGTACGCGAGTTTTATTGTATCTCTTGCCTTCTGCAAAATTAATTCTCCTATGATATTCACACGTTCTTGATGCTGGAGAAACCACTCATAAACAACCTTTTTCATGTCAGGATATTTTGCTGGTTTGTGTCTTTTGATCTCTGCTCTTCCCTTTTCTATTTTAGCAGAGAGATAGTCATCTGACCGCTTAAGTGTGTTTGATATTGTTCCTTGACTAACTTTCAACTGAAATTTTCCCTCAAGCCATCTCTGCAAGTCCTTTTGTGTGCTTGCAAGATTATTTCTCTTATACTCACACAACTCCTTACGATTTGATCTGACATAGTTGATTTTGCAACACCTTTTAGATGAGAAGCCATCTTATGAAATATGGTTTGAATATTCTAACACATTCATGTAATTTATATATGCTAAACTTGCTTAAGAATACATTGAACACATTTGTTCCTCTTGTTTACATTTACTGTACTTCAAAAGTCATTATTGATTTCCAATGCATATGTAGTGTAGTTACTAATTTACTGTACGTTGAGTCCCAAGGTTCGCTGCAACGTAATTCTAAGAGGCATAGATTAATTTGTCTTTTTGTTTGGTATGTACAGTATAATTACTTAAAAATTCTTTAAATTAATAATTATTAATTATTAATTTATCGATAAATTAATAACTCTCTAAATTAATAAATTTCTCCGGTCCTGACATTATTAATTTAAAGAATTTCTACTGTACTAAGTATAAGTTTAAAAACTTACACCAAATTCTAATTGTACAAATCAAATAATCTAACGATTTTCTAATAAGTATAAGTTTAAAAGACTTACACTAAATTTTAACTGTACAAATCAAATAATCTAACGATTTTCAACTATTAGATTATTTGATTTGTACAGTTAGGATACACCTGGTGTCAATAAATTATATATATATATATATATATATATATATAGGTAAATTGATAAATAAAATAATAATATAATTTATTAATTCATCTAAATTATTTTCAATTATTATAATTAAAAATATATATTTACTTCTTTCAATTTTAAAAAATAGTAATATTAACTAATTATTTTAAATGAAGAATTAAATGTACTAATGATTAATATAACATTGAATGATATATTAACTACATTATAATTCAATGTTTCTTAGAAGTTATAACATTACATTACAGATAATATATTATTTAATGTTAATACAACATAATTATATAACATTACATGCATAATAACTTTTTCAAAATATAACAACAAGAATAAATATATATTTTCTTTTAATGTCATGATATTATTACATGTCATAAAAACTTAAAAATAAATGAAAAGACCGGGATTTTAAAAAATGCAAAAATATATACGGACCAAAATATCAATTAAGTTGCAAAAAAAAACTTTTGACTTCTCCTATTGCAATTTTATTTATAAGTTGCAGTTGTAACAACGTGACGTCGCACAGTGTGAGGGAGAAAATAGATTATGTGCTTGGATTGTTGTACTATTGATGATTACTGCAGCAGATACAGTGATAGTCCCCATGCATGCTAAGAAACATGTGCGTGTCATAAATGGCTTGGGCAATGGCACTGTTCTCTATCTCCATTGTCGATCAGGGGACGATGATCTTGGGCCGCATGTTCTTAAGTATAAAGAGTACCAAGAATGGTCCTTCAACAATAACATTCGCGGTACTACTCTCTTTTGGTGCTCCTTGCAATGGAACAATCAGCAACACAGCATTGAAGTTTACAATTACTAAAGAGATAACAAAAATTGTAGTTCCCATTGCTGGCGAAGTATTGAGAGTGATGGAGCATATTTTTATATAGAGACTGTCGGGTATTGGGTGCATAGATAAACATGGTAGTACACTTGTCTCACAGCTGCAACTCATTCCTTAGTGTATATGCTAAAGGAATAAACAGAATAAACTATACATCATCCCCATCTATCTATTTTACTAATAAATCATTTCCCTTAATTTATTGCATTTCATTTTCCCATCTTTGCATTTATTTATATTCACAATTCATATTTTTATAACTCTTTTTTTTTTTATTATTTCTCAATCTTCAACTTTTGTTCAATTAGGCTCGCGTTTCATCTTGTGTTATTCGGGAGTAGCAGGTCCCTAACCGTGGCTGAGGCCTCCACTACTGACAAGTGCTCCTAAAACCACTTTGGTTTGGTAACCATGGATCTCCCCAAATCCTTGTGGAGAGTCTTTTTCCAATCCTCCACACACTCCCCAGTTGAGTCACCCATTTAGCTTTCCAAATGCATGCCCAGGTGTAGCTTGGGTTATGACCACGATCAGAGTGTAGATAAGACTTTTTGTGGTAGTACTATGGCCGAATGATCCTGGCCACAAGTGACTGGGGATGCTTTGCTAGTCTCCATTCCTGTTTTGCAAGGAGAGCTAAATTGAAAGTCTCAGAGTACCTGAAACCTAGTCCTTTTTCTCCCTTGGACAGGCACATTTTGGACCAACTAACCCAATGTATTTTCCTTTCACCATTCTTGCTGCCCCAGTAGAAATTACTGATCATAGATTCAATGTGATGACAGAGATTTGTGACAGAGATTTGGGGAGAAGGAAACATCCCATTAGGTAGGTTGGGATAGCTTGAGTAATGCCTTGATTAAAACCTCCTTCCCTACTTTTGACAGCTACAACTCTTTCCATTCCTTTAACTTTTTCCACACCCGCTACTTTGGAAAGCAGCATTACAACTTACAATACATTTATTTTTCATTTCTAATATGTATATTTAGATATGAAATGAATAATTATATATTTAGATTAATTGATAAATAAAATAATAATTTTTATAGAAATTTTTAATTGTATTTATTAATTTATGTATAATTTATTAGTTATTAAAATTTAAAATATTTATTCTCTTCTTTCTTGTTTTTAATTATTTTTAATTTTTAAAATGCAAAACTAATATAATATCTACGTATATAACATTAAAAAAATATATTAACTACACGATAAATTAAAATGCATAATTATAAATTACAAATAAATTGATAAAAAAATTAAATATAAATTTATATTTTTTTAATTAATGTAAATTATTTTTGTCGTTAAAATTTAAAACATTTATTCAAGTCTTTCTTGTTTTTAATTATTTATATTAATAAATTATTTTGGACCAATAAATAAATGTAAAAATTAACTAACCTAGAACATCAATATAACATTAAACGACATATTAACTACACTATAACTTAAAACTTATAAATATATATTGCATAGAAATTAATAATTTATTTTATAATTTTATTTATTTATTTTTATAAATTATTATCAGTAATTATAATTTTAAATAAATATAATATATACTTCAACAATATTATAATCATTATTTATATCATTTTTATTAACTATATTCTTTTTAATAGCCTAGAAAATATATAAAATGCATAAAATTATAATTTATAATAAAATATTAAATAACTTGATGTGATATTTGTATTTTTAAATTATAAATTAAATAATATATATACTTAATTACACGAATAATAAAAATTATTATTTAAATATAACATCAAATATAATAAAAAAATATGTTTTCTTTTTTGCTTTTTTGTTTTTAATCCCTTGCTATCATTACATGCAATAAAAAAATAAAAATAAATGAAAATAAAAACAAAAATTAAGATAAAAAAAAGTGTGAAAAAAATACACGACTCAAAAGTATTAAGGTGTTGTAATAATCATCAACTTAAGCAGATACTCTATACTATCTAGATTTTGAGAATTGTTATTCTTTTAATATTTTACAAATTAAAATATATTTTTAAATAAACTATTAATTTTACTTTCAATTAATATAAAATTAACGGATAATAGAAATTACAAGTATTAAATGAGCGCTTTAAATGTCTACAGTTTCTTTTGACTTTTACTGTTGCAATTTTATTATAAGATGCAATTGTAACAATGGGACTTTGTATAGTGTGGGGGGTGAAAATAGATGATGAGCTTAGTTTATTGTAATCTCACGAACATGTTGAAGGGCTTGGCTGTATTACTGATGATTATTGCAGCAGATACATTGACAGTGGGTGTGCATGCTCGGAAACATGTGCGTGTTACGAATCTCTTGGGTAAGGACGCTGTTCTCTATCTCCATTGTCGATCAAGGGATGACGATCTTGGCCTGCATGTTCTTCGGTTTTTACAGTTCCAAGAATGGTCCTTCAACAATAACATTGGCGGAACAACTCTCTTTTGGTGCTCCTTACAGTGGAACGACAAACAACGGAGCATTGAAGTTTATAATTACGAAAGAGATAATAAAGATTGCAGTTCCTATTGCTGGCGATTTCTTGAACCAGATGGAGCATATTTTTACATAGAGAATACGAGGCAATGGGAGCATAGATACTCGTGGTAATGCACTTGTTTCACAGCAAGGAGTCATCAGTGTTTATGCTAAAGGGGAAAATAAAATAAACTAATCATCATCCCCATCTATCTATTTTACCAATAAAAAAATTTCCCTTTAATTGATCGCATTTTATTTTCTCATTTACGCCAATTGTTTATATTCACAATTCATATTTTATATTAAATTTATGCTTTTATATTAATTATTTCTCAATAAATCTATGGTAAATTTGCGAGTTCAAAATATCTGAAAGATAAATGCAAATTGATAAATAACAATTTTATAACTAAATATATCAAAATTTTAATTTTAAGTTTAATTGCTGTATGTATTTAAATATTATAATTTTATATTTTAATTTATTTGAAATTATTTACTATTTATTATTAAATATGTAGATCAATCGATCAAAGTAATTATTTTAATTTAAGCTGTAATTTTGAGTTTGAATCCTAACAAATATAATTATAACTTGAAAATTTGCTTATTAAATTTAAAAATTAGGATAATTTTTTTTAATTTGACTCTCATTTATAAAATTTTATTATAAAAATTGAGATTTATTAAATTTTCTTAATCATTATTAAGATATTAATAATTTATTATTTTTTAAAATAATGAATGTTGTAATATTTATTTATTTTTATTATTTATGACAAATCTTTTAATGAAATAAAAAATTAAGAAATTGAATGAGTAAAGTAAAGTTACTCAATTTAAAATAATAGGGATAAAAATTTTAAATTACTTTAAACTAGTAACTAAAAATAAAAAATTCTTAAACTAATAATATTAATTGTGGCATTACAGTTCAAATATTTTATATTTACTGTGCTTTCTGTCCATCATTAATAATCGGCCATTGGCCATTATTTAATGCAAGAAATGGCTATTACCACTATCATTTAATTATTTGTATTTCGGTACTTATTTTACTTCATGTTCTTATGAGTTTTGTTAATAAATGATCTTGAATTATTAATTAAACAATAAATGAATAAAAAATATAATAAAAATATTATATATATATATATATAACATTATGTGAATAATAATAAGTTTAGTATTTGAATATAAAATTAAATATAATAAGAATATATTTTTTTCTTTTTGATTTTTAATCTCTTGCTATTATTACATACCATGAAAATTAAGGATAAATGAAAAAGAATAAAGCAAAAGACCGGGATTAAAAAATGCATAAATTTTAAAAGTCTACAGTTTCTTTTGACTTCTATGTCAATTTTATTTATAAGTTGCAATTGTAACAATGTTGTTTTGTATTTCAATTAACGTTATAAAAATTTTGAAATATATAAAAGTAATAGTTCTTTATTATATTATTATAGTTTTTAATTTTATAAAAATTTGAAATAAATAATTAAAATGATAGATAGTTATAAAGTCACTTATCTTTTAAAAATGCTTTTCTGAAAAGTTATTACTATAATTTCAAGGTATAATTTATTAGTATACCCTAAGATAGATATATTTTTATGGTTAATTTTGTTAATAAATGTTCTTAAATTATTAATTTAATACTTAATGAAAAAATATAATAAGAATATAATATATATATATATATATATATAACATTATATAAATAATAATAAATTTATAATTTAAATATAAATTCAAATATAATAAAAATAAATGCTTTTTAGTTTCTGTTTTAATCCCTTTCTATTATTACACACTTTAAAAGTTAAAAATAAATGAAAAAAATAGGAATTATAGGCAACGAATAAAATAGATACCAAATTTATACATACCAAAATATTAATTAAGCTTTTTAAAAATTGAAGTTTCTTTTGACTTCTCTTATTAAAATTTTATTTATAAATTGCAATTGTAACAATGTGACTAAGGGAGTGAGCGTAGTTTATCAAGAACTCCCAAACATGTTGAAGGCTGTGGGCACAGTTGTTGCACTATTTACGATTGTTGCAGCAGATAAACTCATAGTCGCTTCGTCAGGTGGGGAATGGAACGATCAAAAACACACCATTGAAGCTTTTAATTATAGAATAGATTATGGGAAATGTGTTTCCAATTGCTGGCGATATGTTGCAACTCATGGAGTACTTTTTTTATTTAGAGTTTTCAAAACAGTGGGAGAAGAGATACAGATGGTAGTAGACTTGTCTAACACCTACAACTCATTTGTGTTTATGTAAAGGGAAAAATAAGACAAACTACTAATCATCCCCATCTATCTATTTTACTAATAAAGCAATTTCCCTTTAATTGATGCATTTCATTAATTTTCCCATCTTACACCAATTGTTTATTTTCACAATTTATAGTTTAAGAGAACGGCTATAAAGTTATGTTTTTTTTATCATTATTAATTATTTCTCAATCTCCAACTTTTGTAAAATGTATCTAAATATAATATATTTAGTTTATATATATACATATTTTTTTTTTGTTAATCATTACTTATTACAATAATCATGATTTATATTTTCATTTTTAATCATAATAAAAGATACACTGATATTAAAATATTAAATATAATATAAATGTTTTATTTTAGTCCTTCTTTTTCCTTTTAATTTCTTTCTTTTAATCCCTTGCTATTATTTCATATCATAAAAATTAAGAAAAAAAAAGGAATTAAAAGCAATGACTGGGATAAAATAAATATAATTAGTGAACGAATAAATAAATTTAAAATTATAATATATATATATATATAACATTAAATACTAATGTTATTCTTTTAATAAATTAATAAATATTCCTCCAATTATATTTATAAAAAAACAATTGCCAAAATTTTTTATTCTAATTATAAGACTAAAAGGCTTGTTTTTAAATTTATTAATTTTTAATTTCTTTTATACTCTTAATTTGTTATAAAGTTATGTTAATTAAATACTAATTTATTTTTCATATAAGCTAGTAACTTAGTCCTTTAATATGATGGACATTTTTAAATAAAATATTTTATTATATATAACTGCTTTATTAGTATTAATGAATTAATTATTTATTTAGTTCTTATTTTTTCTTTTAGCATTCACTTTTTTTTAGTCTCTATTTATTATTATATACCATAAAATATCAAAGAAAATTGCGAAAAAATGGAAACTAAAAGCAAAGATGGGATTAAAAATGCAAAAATTATGCAGAGCAAATAATTTATTGAGCCTTTTAAAGCCTGCGGTTTCTTTTGACTCTTTCCACTTGCAAATTTAAGAGCCTTACGAGATATGGGGAAAGTAATGTCACAGTGCAGTTATCTGTAAAACTCTTAGGCGGTGCGGTATCATTTTAAGTGTGGGAATGAAAATAGATGATGGGCTTGGTTTATCGAAACCTCGCAAACATGTTGAAGGCGTTGGGCACAATTAGTGTATTATTGATGATTATTGCTGCAGATACACTCATAGTCCCTGTCCATGCCAAGAAACATGTGCGTGTTATAAATGGCTTGGGCAATGACACTTTTCTCTATCTCCACTGTCGATCAAGGGATGATGATCTTGGCCTGCATGTTCTTCAGTATAACGAGTACCAAGAATGGTCCTTCAACAATAACATTCGCGGTAGTACTCTCTTTTGGTGCTCCATGCAATGGAACAATCAGCAACACAGCATTGAAGTTTATAGCACCAAAAATGATGATGAAGACTGTGAACTCAAATGCTGGCGAGTTATTGAACCAGATGGAGCATATTTTCTTATGGAGACTCGACAAGGACAGTGGGACCACAGATACAGGTGGTAGTAGACTTGTTTAACAGCTACAAGTCTTTCGTGTATGTGCTTAAGGATAAAATAAAATAACTAATAATAATCTCCATCTAACTATTATACTAATAAAGCAGATTTCCCTTTATTTGATCATTTCATTTTTCAATCGCACGCCAATTGTTTATATTCACAATTTATAAAAAAAAAAATCAACAAATAAAATATAATATGTTTTAAATGAATGTGATATACATCCATAAAAATGATTAATGGATGAGTTGAATGAGTTTTTATTAAATAGGTTATGGATGGATTTTTTTTTTTTCATTTTTCATGGGTAAAATTCATTAAAGATTTATTTATTTTTAACCATGTACTACAATTCGGTTCAAAATTTATCTTATTTACTCATTTGACACTCCTCGTTAGATGATAAAAAATAAAATTAGGAATTTTTTTAACAATTGACCTGCAGGGTAACATAGAGTTACTTAATCAGTTATATATATATACACACACACACAAATAACATTGGATAGCAATTATTTTGTGAAACAAATAATACAGTTTTAAACACGTTCATCGATATATTTTATATGATCAATCTAATTTTTCAAAAGTCAAAAAAATTATTTTCATAAATTAATCACTTTTTTTTAAAAAAATTAACATTTTAAAATATGCGTCAATTAAAAAAATTTGATGCTGACGTTCATTTTATTAATTAGAAAGAAGATAAAAGTATCCATAAATAATTAGTTCAAATAACACATGCATGATTATATTTATAAGAAAGTACTAGTTTAGTTGTTGTATTTACAAAACAAATTAATTAAGAGAATTAGTCTACCACACTATAAATATTTGATGTTAATTTAAATTCTCTTTTGTAAAAAGAATTGTTGTTTACACTAAAATATAGAAATACAAATAAAGAAAGATTAATTAAAACAACTCCAATTAAACGAATTTCCCATCCCACCACCTTTACTTTTAAAGTTTTAGTCATGATATTTTATTCAATTTGATTTTAATAAATTTTTAATTTTATTCTTATTTATAAAGTTTTAATACAAAATTAAGATTTTTTACTTTATTAAATCATTCTTAAAATATTAGCAATTTATTATTTTTTACATGAATATATGTTGTGTCATTTATATATATATATATATATATATATATATATTATTTTTTTTACCAAAGAATATATATATATATATATATATGTATATATATATATTTATGACATATTATAACTCTCAAGGTTAGTATGTAAAATTATTTTTTTCTGACATTTATTATTTCCGTCTCTTCTGTTGTTTTATCTCTTAGATGGACGGTTACCAACCGCACCTCTTCGGAATGCATTGAAGTGAGCAAAGTTGGAGTAAAACAGTGTTGAGGTAAAGTAGACTCAGCTTTGTCTATTATAATCTCACAAACATGTTCAAGGCTTTGCCTATAGCTGTTGCATTCTTAGTGATTATTGCAACAGTCACACTTGGGGAGGGTCAAGAAGAAAATGTATGGTTCGGGAAGACACATGTGCGTGTTCAAAATGATTTGGGTGATGGTGTTCGTCTCTATCTCCATTGTCGATCCAAGGATGATGATCTTAGCCTGCAGATTCTTCCCTATCGATACTACCAAGAATGGTCCTTCCGAGATAACATTGGTGGTACTACTCTCTTTTGGTGCTCCATGCAATGGAACAATGTGCACTACAGCTTTGAAATTTATAGTACCAAGAACGATACTAAACATTGTACTACCCAATGCTGGCGAAGTATTAGACCAGATGGAGCCTATTTCTTTTATGAGTTCCAAGGCTATTGGGTGAAGAGAGAGTTCTGGTAATAGACTTGTCAAAAAGCTTCCAGCCATTATTCTTACGTTTGATGAAGGGAAAGAAATAAAATAAACTAATAATCATTTTCATGCAATGGATGAATGATGTTATAATAAAGCAGATTTCCCTTTATTTAATCACATTTCATTTTCTCACTGTTTAAAATTTACCGTATCATTTACACTTTAAAAATATCACTCTTATATTTATTTAATTTTAACAAAATTTGAGATACATAATTTAAGTAATATATAATGACTCCATCCGGTCTTTTTTTAAAAAAATAAAATAATTTTTTTTAATTTTTATTAAAAGAAATAAATAATAGATTTATATATTAATTATTTTTTTTTTATATTTTTTTATTAGTATCATTAAATATATAAATTACTAACTATATTATTTAATATTATGAATATTTTTAGAATAAAATTTATAATTATAAAAAAAATATAATAGAATTAAAATCATAATGATTTAATTTTTTGTTTCTTATAAAAAATCGAATGAAATATAATTTAATAGTTAAATAAAAAAATTATTTTTATTAAATTTTTTATGATATAAAAATGAAAATATAATTTATACCGGTGTAATTTGCTATCTTTCTATAAAATTTTATTAAAAGTTATAATATCTAATAAATCATTTAATTAAATTTCACTGGTTAGAAAAATTATTTTTACTTTAGTTTTTATTTTTGCTTTTAGTATTCACTTTTTTTAACCCATATTTATTATTACATACGATAACATATCAAGGAAAAATGGCGAAAAAATGGGAGTTAAAAGCAAAGATAGGGATTAAAAAAAATGCAAGCATATACGCAGGCCAAAAAATTTATTAAGCCTTTTAAAATTTGAAATTAAAGCAGGGTTTCTTTTGACTTTTTCCTCTTACAAATTTAAGAGCCTTCGAGATATGGGGAAAAAGTTTGGGGAAAGTAATTGATGTTACAGTGCACTTATGTATTAGACATTTTGGCGGTGCGGTGTCATTAACGTGGGAGTGAAAACAGATAATGTGCTTGGTTTATCACACCGACACAACCCCCCAAACATGTTGAAGGCTTTGTCCACTGTTGTTGTACTATTGATGATTATTGCAGCAGATACACTCATAGTCCCTGTGCATGCTCGGAAAACAGTAGGTGTTACAAATGGCTTGGGCAAAGGCACTGTTCTCTATCTCCATTGTCGATCCAAGGACGATGATCTTGGCCTACATGTTCTGCAGTTTCTACAGTACCAAGAGTGGTCCTTCAACAATAACGTTAGCGGCAGTACTCTCTTTTGGTGCTCCTTGCAATGGAACAATCAGCAACACAGCTTCGAAGTTTATAGTACCAAAAATGATGATCGAGATTGTGAAAGCAGATGCTGGCGAGTTATTGAACCAGATGGAGCATATGTTTATATAGAGAATCATGGACACTGGGACCACAGATATAGGTGGCAATAGACTTGTTTAACAGCTACAGGTCATTAGTGTATATGCTCAAAGGAAGAATAAAATGAATTTTTCCATTTACCAAAATTATTTTTTATTTCTTTCTTAAATATATATTTATCTTTATCATTAACATTTAATTATAAATTACTCTACGTGCGTGAAAAATGTTTCAGTTCATATATATATATATATTATAACATTTTTCTGTATAAATATATGTATGTGTTGTTTTCTTTCTTCTATTTTTATTTATATTAAAAATATATGTTACTTATCTTTGTGATTAGTCTTTTGTTTTTAAAAGGTTAAAACTCTTGCATTAATATAAACTAATATTTTAAAAAAATTCCTTCAACCTTTTAAAAACTAAAATTATAAAAAAAATTGTCAGAAAGTATGTTTATAAATTATATTGTTAGAATTTCTCTTATCTCAATTAAGGAGGATTATTTTTGCTAATATACTTATAGAAAAATTGCTAATAACAAAACTTTTAACACATTTTTGTTAATACATTTTTTATGATTAATTTAAATTTATTAAAAATTACAAAAATTATTTAAATTTAGTTTTTATTTTTAAAATAATATATTTTTTATATATTTTTATAATTTTTAATAAATATTAGTTAATAATAATAACACAGTGCATTAAAAAGAATGTGTTATTAACCTTTTTCGTTTTTCTTATGATTTTCATCAAAACTAGTTTTTGTTGGTTTACTCTCATGAGAATATAAAATTTACAATTTTTAATATAATTTGAAAATCTGATTTTTGTTTTTTCAAGACAAACTAGCACGATTCAGTCCCATTCTCATGTTCATATACTTGCTACAGTAAATATAAAATTAAAAAGTTATTTTTATTTATACGTTGATTTTTTATACAAATACAAAGGTTGAATAATAAATCACATGTTTTCCAACAATGACTTTTACACTTTGTTTCGGTAATTGAGAAAAAAATAAAAGAATAATATAATTTTTATTTCTATTTATAAAAAACTATGAATAATATTTTTATACCCTCATAAGTAGACATATTTATTTATTTAATATTTAAAATACTGATTAATCACTTTTTACCTATATTTCATGATATATAACTACTATTTATTAATTTTTATGAAAATTTTGTTTATATTTTATAAATTGAAAAAATGAAACTTACAGAGAGGAGGGATTTTTTTTTATAATTTTATCATTTTTAATATCATATAGTATAAAATATTAAAAAATCATTAATAAAAATTTACACTAAAAAGATTAAGTTTTTAATTGAAATATATATTATATATAAAATTTATTTACTTTTCTCTTTCTTACTCATTTAAATAAGTATAAAAATATTTAATAATTATTTAAAATTTAAATATGCTAAAATTCATTAAAAATATAAAATATAAATAAATAATAGAGAAAAAAAAACACTTGCAAAAGCAGAATACATATTTAAACATAAAAAATAACAAACCTATTTAAGAAGGATAGATTCAAAACACGCACACTCTCTCCCACTTGTCTCAAATATAAGTAAAACAATCTAAATTAGATGAATTAAAAACTAATTAATCTTGTTTAATATTCTTAATTTTATAAAATATAAAATTAATTTTTTAATATGTTCTTTAAAATCATTTAAAGATTATTTAATATTTTTACTACCATGAAATGTTATTAACAAGTAGTCTTGTACGCAGTCTTTTGGTAATGGAAAAGAATTAAATTT